GTGCCATCGCTGCGGCAACACGGGGCATATTGCCCGTTATTGCCCCTTGGGATCAGCCAATAACAACTGGAGGCGCTCGACCACTAACACAGAGACCCCACCATCACGCACCTCTGCTGCTCACTGCCTGGAAACCGAAGGGAGCCTTTTGTTTTGCACAAAAGGGAAAAAAAACGCTTAGACGATAATCCCCTTTCAGAGACAGGCACAGCTACTGTAGAATCACCAAAACTCCCGAACTGAATACAAGTGAATGCTCCAAACTCCCGAACGGCATACAAGGGAATGCTCCAAACACTCGAACTGCATACAAGGGAATGGTCCAAACACTCAAACTGCATACAAGTGAATGCTCCAAACTCCCGAATGGCATACAAGGAAATAAGGTAGCACTCCAAATACACGAACAGGAACCATCCGAATTGCTGCTACCAGACGAACAGGAAAAGCTCCCAAGCGGCTTACACTCCTGGCAATCAGTCCTTAGCAGCATACAGTAAATCCCCCCAAAGACGAGACAAGGCTCCGTGTTGAGGGTCAAGCAGTGGTCAGTTTAATGAAGGCTACCTGCCCAGCTTTTATGCAGGTCTCCCACCTGGTGGACACTCCCCTAGGGGACCAAATGGGAGACTGTGACAAGGGACAGACAAGTAGACAAATAGGACACACAGTCACAGTATATTCCCACAATGCATCCTGGCTTCCTCCCCTCTGCCCTGGGAGATAATTGAGAAATAACTCAATTATCTCCCAAGACAAAGGCAAAACTCCATTACACATGTGGGGACACAAAACCAGTATTATACTTTAAAATACATAAAGTAACATTTATGACATAAAACACAGACATGTAACATATCCCCAGATAGCTCAGGTCTGAGTGCACATTATTAGGTGAATGGCACTCAGACCACACGAATACAGTTTAATCGCCATGGAGCCAAAGTCTTTACAGTCAGTTTCATACAAATGGGCTCCATGGGATTCCTATCTGGGGTATAACACATTCAAACAAAATTACCGAACACCGGGCCGTTCGTGCACTTCCACCGAACAAGAAGGGAGGTCGGCGGCTTCAGCGGTGTTCGCGCAAAACTGTGTCCGATTTTAGTTCCATGAAAATAGGGGCGAACACCGCTGTGCATTCGTATGTTTAAAATGGCCGCGACCTCGTGTTCGGGATACGAATGGCGGCCACCCAGCATTCGTCAATTAAGCTGCGGTTAACCGCAGCTTCAGGGAGGTTAATTGCCGGCACACTCCAGCTCCCAGGTGGTCCAGTCATTCGTACGGTTGTTCGGTAGATTGAATCTACCGAACCCCAGGCAGAAAATCACGAATGAAGCTTTTCTGCAGGTACAAAAGATGTCTTTTAACAGGGGGCCATAGTCCAAAGGCAGCAGGCGAGCAACCAGGCTTCTCCAATGCAATGTGGTGAGATTGGTCTCTTCACAAGCCCTGAGGAGTGTTTGGGAATCCTGTACGAGGCAAACCCCATACAAGCCGTATCCCCAGATAACCGTCAGCATCACCGCCAGGAGGTGCGTGTAAATCGACAAGTAGCACAAGGCGTAAGGGACACTGGCGCTACCATCACTTTGGTGCAGAAACATCTCGTGAAACCGGAGCATGTATCTAACCGTACTGTTGCTGTCCGTGTCACAGGGGGGGCTGTTTTTCGCTTACCCACCGCCCGGGTACACTTGGATTGGGGAGTCGGGTCGGGAAAGACCACAGTAGGAATCATGGACAATTTACCTGCTGAAGTCGTGTTGGGCAACGACATTGGCCCTCTAGTTTCAGCTTATTTACCCACGACTGCTGCTGCTTGTCTTGTGACCACAGACCAGCAGGCAGGGAGACCCAGGTAAGCCACAAGCAGACACTCAGCCCTAACACAGCAGAAAGACCCATAGCTTGGGCCACCCCAGAGGAGTTTGATAGGGAAACTAGAAAGGACCCCACCCTCCAAAAATATTGGGAATTAGCAGACAGTGGGGGGGATGAGCAGGAGCATTTTATATGGGATGGTGACAGATTATACAGGTTGGCCCAAGGTAGGAGGAGAGGCTGTGTCCCTTCGCAGAAGCGCCAACTAGTGGTACCCAGAAAATACCGGTTGGAACTTCTCCGAATTGGACACGACATCCCGTTGACAGGGCACTTAGGGGGTAACCGCACCGCCTACAGGATCACACAGACCTTTTTCTGGCCTGGGATCTCGAAGGACGTGCGGCGTTACTGCAGTACCTGCGACACATGCCAACAAGTAGGGAAGAGAGGGGATCACCCTAAAGCTCGACTGTCACCCATGCCCGTGATCGAGGAACCGTTTAGCCGGGTGGCAGTCAACCTAGTGGGACCCATACCTAACCCCAGCCCCTCAGGTAAGAAGTATATTCTTACAGTAGTGGACTATGCTACCCGCTACCTACAGGCCGTTGCTCTGACGAATATCCAGGCTGACACTGTCGCCAGTGCTCTAGTCGGGATATTCACCAGAGTGGGATTTCCTCAGGAAATCCTATCTGACCGAGGGACCCAGTTCACCGCAGACCTTACTCAGCAGTTATGGAAGGTCTGTGGTGTCAAGACCCTGCTCAGCTCACCGTACCACCCTCAGACTAACGGTCTCTGTGAACGCTTTAATGGTACCCTAAAGCAATTGCTGCAGACCTTTACGGCAGAATACAGAGACTGGGAGCGATTCTTGCCGCACCTCTTGTTTGCATATTGAGAGGTGCCACAGGAATCCACAGGGTTCTCTCCCTTCGAGCTGCTCTATGGACGGCGAGTGCGAGGCCCCCTCGACCTCATCCGAGAGCACTGGGAGGGAGAGATAGAACATGAGGGGGTTCCTATCGTACCTTATGTGCTGGAGATGCGGGACCGCATGGTGCACCTAGCCAGGATGGCCCGAGAACATCTCCAGGTGGCCCAGGGCCGTCAGAAACATTGGTACGATCGGGGCGCCCGGTTGAGAACGTTCCAAGTAGGTCAGAAAGTTCTGGTACTTAGACCTGTCAAGGGAAACAAACTGGCAGGGCCCTTACAAGGTGGTGGCCCAGATATGTGACACCACCTATGTAATTGCCAGTAGCCAGGACGAAAGGATCCAGAAGTCCTTTCATGTCAATTTATTAAAAGAGGACCAGGAAAGGCCCGAAGATATAGCGGCCATATGTATCCCGGCCACTGAAGACCCTGACAGTCTTCCCATCCCAGACCTGTTAGCCGAGTCCGAGCCTAAAACCCTGCTCAATACAGTGCAGCTAGGGGAGCGGTTAACTCCCGCAGAAAGGGAACAACTCCAACGACTGCTAGCTGAGAAAGGATTGATGTTTTCCCAGGAGCCCGGTTACACACCCTTAGCTACACATTATGTGGAAACCCCAGGACAAACCCCTCTCAGACAGACTCCCTATAGAATCCCTGAAGCCTTAAAAGAGGAGATGAGAAAGGAGATTCATGAGATGTTAAAACTGGGAGTTATAGAGCCGTCTGACAGCCCCTGGGCATCCCCAGTTGTCCTAGTTCCCAAAAAGGACGGAACGACCCGGTTCTGTGTCGATTACCGACGCCTCAATGACCGAACCGTGACAGACGCATACCCCATGCCCCGAGTAGACAAACTATTAGATTGTATTGCCAGGGGACGCTATCTGACCACCATCGATCTGTGCAAAGGGTACTGGCAGATTACCCTGGCCAAGGACGCTATCCCTAAGTCAGCGTTTGTCACCCCGTTTGGCTTGTACCAGTTTAAGGTCATGCTATTCGGGATGAAAAACGCCCCAGCTACATTCCAGCGCTTAGTGGATCGTCTCCTTGATGGCTTCCAGGAATTCGCTTGCGTGTACCTGGATGACATTGCGATCTATAGTGAGACTTGGGGAGAGCACTTAAGACATGTAGAGGCTGTGCTGGACCAGATTAGGGCCGCAGGCCTAACTCTCAAACCAGAGAAATGTAATTTCGGAATGGCCGAAGTACAGTACTTGGGACACAGGGTAGGGTGTGGGAAACAGCGACCAGAACCCGCTAAGGTGGAAGCTGTAGCCAATTGGCCTACAACCCACACCAAGACCCAAGTATTGGCATTCTTAGGGACAGCAGGATATTACAGGAAATTTGTCCCTGACTACAGCGCCATCGCTAAACCCCTGACAGATTTGACAAAGAAAAATTTGCCTAGAGTAGTCTTGTGGTCTCCCGCCTGCGAAACAGCGTTCCAAACCCTGAAACAAGCCCTGATCAACGCACCGGTTTTGTCTGCCCCCGTCCCTAACAAAAGATTTGTCGTCCATACAGATGCATCCATGTACGGACTGGGGGCAGTTCTGAGCCAGGTCGGGGAAGATGGAGGGGAACACCCTGTCGCGTACCTGAGTAGAAAACTATTGCCCAGGGAAATGAGCTACGCGGCAGTGGAAAAAAAGTGTCTATCCCTGGTCTGGGCTCTAAAGAAGCTCACACCATACCTGTACGTTCAGAAATTCACCCTGATCACAGACCATAACCCCCTAGTATGGCTGAACCGAGTAACTGGGGACAATGGACGATTACTGAGATGGAGCTTGGCCCTACAACAGTACAACTTTTCCATTCAATACCGCCCTGGCCGGTTCAATAGGAACGCAGACGGACTGTCCAGGCAAACAGAACTTTTACCTTAACCGCAGACCGGACAGCCCCAAGTTGACCCGAAAAGGATCAATCCGGGTCTGCCGGAGTGTTCCACAAAAGGGGAGCAGTGTAACAGAACTATGCTTTTGCCTATGCTTTTTGCCTGGACTTATATATCAATGCCGCTGGATGTATTACAAAAACCGAATGACTATTTCGTGGAAATATCCTTACCGGAGAATACAGCTCAATATACCGAACATCGGACCACCCAGGGGAACAGTATAGTGGTATTTTACATCCCAGCGCTTTTGGAGCCGTTCGCATGGTTTCACACGAATTCCTTTGTGCTCAGGTTAGATGGCCGAATTTTGGGACTTTACACGTGTTCGCGGCCATCTTACGCACGAACAGCGGTGTTTGCCCGTGAACGCATGGAACTAAAATCGGATACGCAAACAGGCGAACACCGCTGAGACCTCCAGGAGCTCGTAATTTCGTGCTGGAACTACCGAACAACCGGCCGTTCGGTAGGTTTGCTTAAGCTCACATAGGGATTCCAGCGAACACCAGGATGACTGTGGATGGCAAGGGGTTCGTGGGGTTTTAATGCACGAACGGAGACCGACCGCAAGGCCAAAACTTATGGAACTCTTTTCGGCTAGAAAACCTGTCAAAACTTCAAAGATCCATAACTCCCGAACCCCTCAACCGAATGGGCTGAAATTTGGACATGTTGTTCCCCTGAGTGAGAGCTATCAAGCGGTGCTGGACTTAAAGGTGTACCCCCTGTTTTTGGGGTACATGCAGAATGTGGGTAAAATTGTGTCTGTTTTAATTATGTTATATGTTTATCTGAGGGGAGGAGACGTGGGGGTTGTACCATGTATCTGATTGGCTGTTGTGTTAATTATGTGGGTGTAGCCTTTCAGAGGGCACCATTGCATAAAAGGAGACCCCTGTCAATAAACATCAGTTCTACTTGACCCTTCAAAACATAGCCTCGTCTCGTTCTTGGAGGGGATTTATGGTACCGTTACTCTGCCTCATTTTACAGCAATGCCGGATTATACACTTGGATATCATGGATGGGAATAAGAACTCCATTACTTCACAGCAGCTTGCCTAGAAAAGGACGTCCCCAACTGCAGATACCCCTTTTCAGCTGGGTAGCCGTTACAGGGACAGTCTCGCTTGTAGTGTCCCCACCTCTGGCAGTGGTGACATTGCACAGACCTAGGCTGGTGGAACCTCGGTTGGGCAGGGGTTGGTGGGGGTGGTGGTTGTCGGGTGGTGCTGTTGTGTTGGTGGGGTAGCTCGACCCCCTGGAGGTCTTAATGTGTTCTTAATGACTACAGGTTTTTGTTGCCTGCGAGCATCCAAGTAGTCGTCTGCTTTCCTGGCTGCCTACGTGAGGGATGTAGGGTTGCGGTCCCTTACCCATTTCTGGACTTCTGTTGGTACCCCATCATAAAATTGTTCCAACAGCAACATTTGTAATATGTCCTCCATGGACCGTGCTTTGTTAGCCTGTACCCATCCGAGGGCTGCCCGCTGTAGTCTACAAGCCCATTCCGCGTGCGAATCTGCTTTCTTTGGTTCCCTGAACCACCTTCGGTATGCCTCTGGGGTGATGGCATACCGAGCCAATATAATTTCCTTTACCCGATTGTAGTCACTGTTACGGTACCTTCAGTAATAAATGTACAAACCACCGTTTAGTGAATGCTCCTGGTTCGCAATAATGTTGTCTGTAAGTGTATGCAATACAACCATGCGAACCGCCAGCCAGGGAACACTCCAAACTCCCGAACGGTATCCGTATGGCTCCTTCCCTTCACGAGCCACAAGTTCACGAACTGCCAATATCAGCCGAACGCCAATATCTTCCAAGCGGCAAATAATTCCAAATAGCAGTCTCTAGTCGCCGGTAATAAAATCCCCCCAATAACGAGACCAAGCTCCGCATTGAGGGTAAAACGCGAACTGAGTTTACTGTGGGCTACCTACCCGTATTTATGCAGGTCTCCCACTTGGTGGACACTCCCCTAGGGGACCAAATGGGAGACTGGAATAGCAGATGGACATGGGGACATTTCAGACATACAATCACACAATATTCCCAGCATACATCACAGTTTCCTCCCTGTGGCAAACCTAGCCACTTGGACTATATCAAGAGACTATACCTTTAAGGGTTGCCTATATGTCGGTGGGGATATGTGTTCATCTATGTACAATGTATGCGGGCTGTAATAACTGTGTATCCCCTGTATTTGCTATCCGCCGAATGCAGATAGCTATTTGTATGAGGTTTTCCTTTCGTTTCACGAACGGCACTTTGGCGGGCCGTTCGTGAACCGAAAACACTACACATATTAGCCCACACACTTAGAGGCGTGTGGCGCTTGTTAACGGTAATTAGAGGCTCTCCTAGGTGGCCGCCGTTCGACTACCGACCATGCAGCGGTCGGCCATCTTGGATCCTTTGTTCCCTCAGCGGTGTTAGGTCGTCGAGCGCATGGTACTAAAAATGGCTACTCGACGGCGCGAACACCGCTGAGCCTCCAGGACGTTCGGGAGTTCCGGGCCGTTCGTTATTTCATTCCCTGGAAGGCAATCGGTCTTTTTAATATGTTTTCCAATGAATGTGTTTTTCATGCGGCGTTCGGTTGTTTTAGCTGGGATCTGAGCGGTAATCTCACGAATGATGCGCTCAGACCCCAGCTATCTACCGAACGTCCATTCGTGCAAATAGACTACATATTCGAAAAGTTATGCATTTTCATGTGAATTGTCGGTTCTGCTGCACGGAGGGATAATCCACTTAACGGTATATTCCAGTGGGAGGATCCCTCTCGTGCAGCAGTGCCTGATGGGAGAAATAGCTTGTACAATAAGTCCCCTGTGTAGTCCCCTCTGGGAATGCCCCTGGGAAGGGACTCAGGAAACCCCTTGCATGGGGACTTGTATAAATTGTGGAGCTGAAATAAAAGACCTCAGTTGACTCTCAGAACTGTGTTTCGTCCGGTTACTGGGAGATTTGGGATATTGCCTTGTTGTTTCCAGTGCTTGACTGTGGATTACTTCCTGAACCAGCGGAATTCGTGGATTTAATATTGGCGTTCCGCTACACTCCCCTCTGCCCGGGAGATAATTGAGAAGTAATTCAATTATCTCCCAGAGCAGAGGCAAATCGCCATTTTAAATACAAGTCACAAAACACATAAAAATATATAACTTTATAACTGCCGAACATATTACATTCTTGTAACACATCCCCAGATAGCCTGGATCTGAGGGCATATTATTGGCGAATAGCGCTCAGATCCCATACGCACAGGTCAATCGCCATGGAGTCAAAGTCTATTACAGTTCTTTGGTATGCGATTGACTCCATGGGAAGGCTATCTGGGGTAAGTCTATTCGTGCCTTTACATCTCCCGAACGGCCGGTGTTCGCACACTTCTGTCGATTGAGAAGGGAGGTCGACGGCTTCAGCGGTGTTCAGTTGAAAAAGTGTCCGTTTTTAGTTCCATGAAATAACCGTCGAACACCACTGGTCTTTCGTATGGTTAAAATGGCTGCCGCCTCGTGGTTGACATACGAACGACAACCACCCTGTATTCGGTTTTAATTGAGAAGTGTCTGTGGTTAACCGCAACGTTCTAATTGGGATCAATAGGTTAACCAGCAGCACACTTCTCTTCTGGGTGGCCGTCCATTCGACAGTTCCGTTCGGCAGAAAAGTCAGTTTCTTTAGTGCCCACACCAGGGCCAAACACTCCTTTTCCACTGCGGCATAGCTGACTTCGTGTGGTAGGACTAATGGGCTCTGTGAGAGGTTCAACGGGACCCTCAAACAAATACTCAAAACTTTTACACAGGAGTATAGGGACTGGGAACGCTTCCTACCGCACCTCCTGTTTGCATATCAGGAGGTACCCCGGGAAACGACCGGATTCTCTCCCTTTGAGCTGCTCTACGGACGCAAGGTACGGGGACCCCTAAACCTGATCCGGGAACACTGGGAGGGAGAGACTGAGAACGCTGGATTCCCCATTGTACCATACATGATGGAACTCCGGGACTGAAAGAAGCAACTAGCCAAATCCGTTCAGGCTAACCTCCAGTCGGCCCAGAGAAGACAGAAAGTATGGTATGATGGAGGAGTGCGGAAGAGGACTTTCACCATAGGGCAAAAGGTGCTGGTGCTTAAACCGGTTAAGACTGATAAACTACAAGCTTCCTGGCAAGGTCCCTACCAGGTTGTAGAAAAGAGGGGAGACACCACCTACGATATAGCTAGTTGCCATGACGACACTATTAGGAAAACCTTCCACGTTAATATGCTCAAAGAGTACCTTTAGAGACCAGAAAACGTGGCCGCTGTCGGTTGTTCCCCACACGAAGACCCTGACAGCCTACCGATCCCGGACTTACTAGAGAAGCCCCCACACTCAGATCTGGTGACCCAGGTCAAGATAGGAGACCAACAAAGTGAATAAGATTCCTAATAATAGGAATCTATAGTGTGTCCATAGTTCCTTATAAAAAGAATTGGACAGATGATCCCAGGCACAATAGGCTATGGGAGCACCCGAAGAAAGGGATCTATGGGTATGCACTTGTATATATTTAAAATAGAAAATCTTTATTATAGGGTACGAATTTCCCAAAATGAAAAGAAACTTAAAAAACTTAAAAAACCATCAGTTCTAAACTAAACACACAGGGAGGGATTCAAAATAGAAGCAGTGTAAGATCAAGGGAATATAAATATATATACGGGGAGTCAAAATAATGGTTAAGAGATATCTATAATTTGTAATGACTCTCTTGTTGTATATCCCTAACTGAATACTATTCCCTCGAAAATAGAAAGTTGTTGATCGCTCTACTATATATGTAAAATGATAGATACTGAATTGAATGCTCGTGATATAGAGCTTGGACAATACTCAGAATTGATCTATATAGAATTGATACAGTTAATTGCTGTCAAAAACTATAGACCTAGAGTAAATGTTCTGTCTGATAATATAAACTTGAAAGGAACTGCTTAGCTCATTTGTGTGAAGTAGATACAGAAAGACTCTACTTGGGAACAGGCGGACACAGAAATGTGTAGACCGAACTGCTACAAAACACTGAGAAAAATTGACTCAGATGATATATAAAAAATGCAACTGTATCTTTTAGTTACTGTATAAACAGACAAATACAAAGTATCCCTACTTGGAAGGGAGACAGATACCAAAGGAGCACAGACTAGTCTAGTCCGAAAGTCCCTGAAAGTGTAATCGCCTCAAAGGATTTAAGTAGTACAACAGTATCTCAATATAGCCGTGGAGAGCGATTGCTAATGTAGTGTTCTTCGGGTGCTCCCATAGCCTATTGTGCCTGGGATCATCTGTCCAATTCTTTTTTATCAAGATAGGAGACCGACTAAATTCCATGGAGAGGGAGCAGCTCAACCGGCTACTCCAGGACAAGTGCTCTACCTTTTCGCAAAAACCCGGGTACACTACCCTGACGACTCACCAGGTGGATACCCCGGGGCAGCAACCCCTAAGGCAGGCCCCCTACAGAATCCCAGAGGCAGTTAGGATGGGAATGAAGAAGGAGATCGACGAGATGCTTCAGCTAGGGGTTATTGAGCCTTCCAATAGTCCATGGGCTTCTCCAGTAGTCCTGGTACCCAAAAAGGATGGAACTACCCAATTTTGTGTGGATTATCGGAAGCTCAATGATAAGATAGTGACTGACGCC